TGCCAATGAGCAGCGATGGTTTTTCAGCCATGCCCCCCACCCCCCAGCAGTGGAAGAGAGAGGTACAACTGCTGGAGTCCTCTGCTCCAGCACGTAACCCCATTTAAGTCAGCGAAGCTACTTATGTAACAAATACTTTCATAAGGGCTTAAGGGATTAGGCTCCACAATTGTGTCTTTTCAAATGCATTATCCAGGTTTTAAAAATGTATTAGCTGCAATTCTAAATCAAAAAAACATTGATATTTATAATGTAGTATTTCATAGGCTTAAATGTATTCATAATTTAACAGTGCAAATACTAATGTACATATTGTACAGTTAAAATTTTAAAAGCTGAATATTTTTATATCCCTGAATTTGAAGAAGTTTGTTACAGTATCAGACTAGATTTGTTAGGGGTTTAACAGCAGCATTATGGATGAAATACTGCTTGTATTTTAGTCAGGGGTTTTAAGTTGAAAAATACTGAAAAATGTTTAGTGCAAACCAGCTTGATTTTGTCTACTAGGTATTAAAAGCTCTGTATGCATGGTGGGGCTATGTAAATACTCTCTAAACTATGGCCCTCTTAATCTTTCAAGTGTTATTTATGGGTCAAGCAAAATGTAAACTATATAAATGTAAAAACCACACAAGCCTGGAATATATCAGTTCAACAAATATGCAACTCCTGTGGATGTGGATTTCTTTTTATTATTATTAGTTACCCTCCTGTCCCAAAAATAATTAGTTTCTGAAGCTCACCTACAGAAAGGAAGAGAGCTGCTGGGTGGTTCTAGAAGGCAAGCTGGCAAAAAAATATGAAGTAGTTGCCTTGAACTCATAGGTGGAGCAGGAGCTATTTTAACTTAACAATAAACTTCTTGCACTGCTTTAAATAAAGGGCAGAAGTTTGTTAGCTGAATTAATAGTGATATCCACCAATTAAGATAGTAAATGCTAAAGCCATTGGCTTCCTGACCACCTGAAGAAAGGCAATTAATGAAATAACAGATGCTTCTTACCAGAAATGCCTGGCAAATTGAACTAAGCTTGCCCACCCTGAGGATATGGAAGTTTGGAAATAAAAACAGCCAGAAGCAAGGGAGAGAATGGATGCAGGAGTATTGGCTTCCACCAAAGAAAATGAAGCTATTGCTAAGGCTAAACCAAGCTAGCAGTTACTCACTTGTATTTTTCAGGGTAAAATAAGTAAAAGAGCCCTTACTCCTAGAGGTGGGACTTCCAGTGTAAGTCACTTTTCTAGTACCAGCAAGTCTTGCATATGTGAAAGTTGATCCAAGTAACCCTCATGCTGTATCGCAGGGCCCGGTGGGCGGCTCATGAGATGCTTCCAGCTGGCGGGTGGCTTAGGCAGTGTTTGCTTTCCCAGTGGCCAAATGCCTCTTGTGCTTAAGTGTATTACAGCCACCAGACTGCCAGGAATTACAGGACTTGAGGAGAGAGGCTGACTTGTTAATACCTTCCCCACGGTGCTCAAACAATGATTGGCACCTTCCATTCTTACCTGTATTTCCACGTACAGGGAACCGGCGTCCTCAGAAACGAAATGCTGTGCTGCTACCATTGTGTTCTTTTTGGAGCAAGCAACTGTCTGATGGAGAAATGTCTCCATCATTGGTTCTTCTGATCTTATGCCATCTTCTGAGATGCAGCAGATGTACTTACCCGAACTGCAATGTCTTATGGAGTATTAGGTGATTAAAAAGTTCTCCATAGATTGTTAGTTGCTTCTCAATACTTTCTTCTTTAAAAAAACAACCCAAACAAAACCCAGCTGTTCAAGGCAGATCTCTGAAGTGTGCCATTTACAACCTACCTTCAGAGTCAACTTTCACATTACCGCCCTCAAAATAAATGAGCTGAAAGATGTATCTCTTCCCCGTGCCTTTACACAAAACCCAAGGATGACTTGGGGCTAAAGGTGCCATGGCTGGGCCCTGTGACCTCTCTGCTCCCACAAGGGCTCTGGGTACTTCAAAATGGCTGACAGCGATAATGACAATTTCACCACCATCACCACCACCACCGTTTTTCTTGTTATTTTTCAGCTGGAAGCTTTGGCAGTGGATAGAAGCCTTTCCTTGTGCTCAGTCTTACTCAGAAAAAAAAAAATAAAAAATTCAGAGGCACGTTTGCCTGTGCAAGGGGACAATAAACCTCCTGTCCCGGTGCCGTGCGGTTCCCCAGGCCTTGTCCCCTCAAGAGGTGACTGGGCCGCGGCAGGCGGGGCCGGGCTGCCCCCCGCCGAGGGGAGCAGCACCCCGGCGGCTGAGCAGCTTGTCCAGAGCTGGTTTAGATGCCTCTGCTCCGAGATGCGCACGTCTTCCTCGCCTCTGTCAGGCTGCAGGACCACAAGCAATTAAAAGCATTGGAAAACATTCAGGAAGCGCTGTTTTGCTGAGGAACGGCCTGCTAAGAGGCACTCACCTCAGTAACCACACTTAATGAAAGAGGGGCTAACGTGTGTTTTTATCCACTTTAAAAATGCTGCACCAAGTTTGAAGCTGGCCATACAACTTGGGTTAGGTTTTTTTCAGCTTGATGGAAACAAAATTCTGCTTCTTTGGTTTTATTGTTCACTTCCTATGAGAAATGTTTCTAATCGATTCTTCCACCTTAAATATAAAGAGAATGGTATGGGATATAGCGTCTGCTACCAATCATCACAAGACTCCGATACAGTCACCAAAGCCATAAATTCTGTTTTCTGTTATTAGAAGTAGTACCTATATTCCAAGTGGAGCTTATAGCCCGGTAAGCACCTAAGCACCACACAGCCGCTCGCTCACTCCCCCTGAGTGGGATGGGGAGAGAATCAGAAGGATAAAAGTGAGAAAACTCATGGGTTGAGGTCAAGACAGTTTAATAAGTCAAAGAAAACCCCAAACCAACACCAAACCCCAAACAAAAAAACCCACCACACTCCAGTTGCTCACAACCAGCCAACCAATACCCAGCCAGTCTCTGAGCAAGAGCAGCCCTGGCAAACTTTCCCCCTCCTGCACTGATTTTATTGCTGAGCATGATGTCATATGGTATGGGATATCCCTTTGGTCAGTTGGGGTCAGCTGTCCAGGCTGTACCCCCTCCAAACCTCTTGCCCACCCCCAGCCTACTCGCTGGTGGGGTGAGGTGAGGAGCAGGAAAGGCCTTGACTCTGTGTGAGCACTGCTCAGCAGTTACTAAAATATCACTGTGTTACCAACGCTGTTTCCATCACAAATGCAAAACATAGCCCTGTGAAAGCTACTACAAAGAAAATTAACTCTATCCCAGCCCAAACCAGTACAACCTTGACAATAGTGAGAAATGTTAGGGCAATACATTCTGCTCATTCTCATCAAAAGAGGAAACCTTGCACAGAAAACAGGGTCGCAAGGAACCGGTCCTTCTCTGACACATGGTATCACCTCCCCTCATATCTGCAGTGGGTTTATTGTTGATTTTCACACCAACTACTTACGTTGTCACTTAAAGCTGCGAACTCACCCAGTGAGGTTACAGATTCATTCAGAACTGCTCCAGCCTCAACAGATAGCATTGAATTTCCACGCTCCTTTCCTTCCTTTTCCTTGTCCCTTTTTATTCTTTTAAAGGTATCTTCTCATTAATGAGCACAAGGAGTAAGGGGTTTTTTTTTGTTTTCAGGAGCTCTTAAGGTGACGAAGAAAATAAATTCCTCCAGCACAGCATCCAGTTCCTTCCACCAATGTTCTTCCTACCCCTTCCCAGGAGCCCCATCAAGGCTGTCCACAAGACCACAGACAACTTTTTACATAGATATGAAATAAAGCCGAAGTACATGTTTGTTTCTATAGGAAACAAGACTAAAAGCCATGTTTCTTGCTTAAGTTAAGTGATTGGCATAATATTTTACTTGGATCAACAGAAAGCATACATCACAAAAGGTTCAACGGCAACATTCAACATAATGACAAGTATTAAATGGAAAACCAGTTATATCACTCATGAATAGGAATTAAACCTTTCACAGAAATAGCACTTATAAAAAAAATTCAAAAGGCTCCTTCATTCATGAGTAAAATTTAATCCATTCTAAAAAAAAAAGTCAGATTAAGCTAAGGACAACCTAGCAAACTTCTGAAAGATCTTACTGACCTATTAGCTAATCTAAAAAACCCAAGAATATTGGCTGATAGGTTGGGCTCAAAGAGTTATAGTAAAGGGGGTTGCATCAGGCTGATGGCCAGTCACCACTGGGGTTCCTCAGGGCTCAATTTTAGGGACAGTGCTCTTTAATGTTTTTATAGATTATATGGACTCGGCAGTGAAACGTACATAAGTTTGTCAACAATATTAAACTTGGAGGAGCTGTGGACTCCCTCGAGGGTAGAAAGGCCTTTCAGAGATTCCTGGATAGACTAGAGAGCTGGGCAGTAACCAACCATACAAAATTTAAAAAGAGCAAGTGCTGGATTCTCCATCTGGGATGGGGTAATCCTGCTTATATGTACAAATTGGGGGACAAGAGGGTGGAGAGCAGCCCTGTGGAAAGAGATCTGGGGGGTTGGGTTGATGGCAACAGTGTGCCCTGGCAGCCAAAAGGGCCAACCTTGTCCTGGGGTGCATCAAGCACAGTATTGCTGGCCGATCAAGGGAGGTGACAGTCCCACTCTGCACTGCACTGGTGTGATGCCACCTGAAGTACTGCGTCCAGTTTTGAGTGCCTCAATATAAGAAGGACATCAGACTATTGGAGTGTGTCCAGAGGAGGATGATCAAGATGGTGAAAGGTCTCAAGGACAGTTATGAGGAGCAGCTGAGGTCACTCAGCTTGTTCAGCTTGGAGAATAGAAGGCTGAGGGGTACCCTCATCGCAGTCAACAACTTCCTCACAGGGGGCAGCGGAGGCGCTGATCTCCTCTCTCTGGCGACAAGCAATAGGACAGGAGGAAATGGAACGAAGTTGTGTCAGGGGAAGTTCAGACTGGACATTAGGAAAAGGTTCTTCACTGGGAGGGTGATCGGTCACTGGAACAGGCTCCCCAGGGAAGTGATCACAGCACCAAGCCTGTCAGAGTTCAAGGAGTGTCTGGACAACGCTCTTAGTCATGTGGTTTAGTTTTAGGTAGTCCTGCAAGAGGCAGGGAGTTGGACTCAATGATCCTGATGGGTCCCTTCCAACTCAAGATATTCTAGGATTCTAAGATAGTAAACTTAGGTCTTACTTTACAGAACACTTGAAAAATCAGATATTTTTATCATAGTAAATTTAATCAGGCCTCTAACAAAGGAGACTCCTAACAAACTGTACAGTAATGATGGACATTTTTAATCAAAAATATATTAAACATGATTTCAGTATTTTTCTCCATCAGCATTTCTAACCCAAAGCAGAAACTCTGATGTAACACCCTGGAAGGGCTCTCGGTCCTGTAGGCAAGTAGTGAAGCGCTGTAGTTACGCTTCTGCCTCAGAGAAGGCTTTGCCTGTGGTTTCATAGCTGATCTTGGTAAGCCAGGTTGTTGCAAGAAGGGGCGGGTCAGGTCTAGCTACTGTGCCGCAACAGGTTGCCTCTCTTCCTCCCTCCCCCTCCCCAAATTAGCATCCTGTAGGATCCGTGAGCTGATTCCCACTCACTGCGCAGCCCACGCAATCCCAAGTGCCCACAAGGTAAGTTGTAGGTCATCTCCTTTGAGCAATGTGAACTCTTAGAAACCAACAAAAGCTGACTGCAAAAAACCACACCCTACTGACATTAAAACTAATCAGGCATCTCAGGAATCTGATGTAATACATATTTAATATAGCATATCAAGATTTGCATGTGTAAGATGCTGTGATACATACAGTACCTTGTAGATGCAAAATCATTGCTATTTCATGTATTTTTCTGCAAGCCATTCTGATGAAATCTGAGAAGCTGTCTTGATAAGGGGGCTGAATTCAATTATTTTTTCATTTAAAAATACTGTGCACTTTGGAAATGGTAAGCTTTAGTCATTAGTCCTTTTACAGAGTTTCATGTGTTTTTAAATGCAAATGTATACAAAATAATCATGCTTATACTTACCTCTTTGTGATTGTGGACTCAAATTATTCCTTTCCTAAAATGTTCATAAAAGACAGTACCTTATTAAATGTAAAGCTGTGCACAATCCAATGGTCAGGACACTGCCAATGAGTCCTGGATATTTTTCATCTCTGAAAACTAATCAAGAAGCACTGGCAGCCTCTTGACTCTCCTCAACCACTTCTCCCCAACTACAGGTTGCTCTATCAGGCCAAAAGTGGCTCCAGACATTACACAGACTTGCCTAGGTTTGAAATGATGATGAATTTGGGACCTTAGGGTTCATCTTCCCATTATATCTAATCCAAAGCAACTTGGAGTTACTAAAGAGACAGTGCCACTCGTTTGCCTTGCCTCACTTGGCCATCCCAAATCCCTGTGCCTTCTTGATGTCAGACGTAAAGATTCCACAGCCTCCCAACTGTTAAAACTAACGCATAAAAAGTGGTGAGAAGGTGTAAGGGGGAGGGGGAGAGAGTAGGAGAAGGGACCATTCCCTGCTCAGTGGCTGCCTGCAGTTACACTCTGTAAGGTGTAGTCAAAAGCATAACAAAGGTAACATTTAGTTCCAAATATTGACAAAAAATGGAGTTAATCCTACATAATACTGCTTACTAGTGACTAATGACTCACAATATGGAAAACACCAAAATTTAAAAGGCATTTGCAGAACCTGCAATTAGAGCAAAAATACAGCACTTAGGTCAAGTAGTTAGAGTTGCTCTGGCAGTCAGAGACTAGAGATAACCCCTAGTGTGATTTTACAGAATGAACCTGAAGTTTAAAATTAAACTATAATAAATAATTTAAATCAGAGTTGTGAACAATTTTGCAAGTCTTCCCTTCCTATAGCATATGTGAAAACAAGACATATTTCTGCATAAGTTGAGGAATGAAGAGCTGCTTCTTGTTATTTTAATAAAAAATACAGTGTTTGAAGTTACACTTATAAACATCAAAACATAAGTGTACATCCATCAGACTGAACATTTTTTCCTAGGTAACTGTGTAAAGGTTTCAAAAATAGTTTGTCACTTTACAGCATTTTGAAAAGAACATCCTTTCAAAGGAATATATGTCAAGAAGTACAGGTAGGAAGAATACAATTGTGGAGACCACAGTGAACAAGATAGAGCCACCTGAGCTACTACGAAGGAGTGCAGGCCTTGGGTTCAAATCTCCAACAAGATCTCCTCTTTCCCCGCAAAAAGCAGATTTATGTATTATGGCATACACAATGCAGAGGATCTAAAAGCATATTTTTGTCCTTAGTATGAGCCCTCTTTGAAGGATTCTGACAGATCTTGATTGGCAGCATCATACTGAGCAATGAAATGTTTGAGTTCTTCAATGCATCGCTCACCTATTTCATGCAAATTCTGCCTCAGGGCAAACTGAATGGACTTCTCCAATGATGGATCTTTATCAATTAGCATCTTCACTACCATGCCAAAGGTTTCACAGTCTTGTCTGTAGACCTAGGAAAAAAACACATTTTAGAAAATTATTAAATGCAAGACTCTTTACATTAGCACACCAACAGCCCTCTCACTGAGCTCAGTGCTACTGCAGATCCAAACCAAAGAATATTGGATTTAACGCAAATTTCAACTGTAAGACGTATTTGCCTTTTCCTCTCTTCTGACTGGCCCCAATACAAACATTACTAGTTCAGAACTGTCTGGATAAAAGAACTAACGCTTATTGGGAGAAATGCCTTAAAAACAGAGTAAGTTCCTCTCGCAGCAATATTTAATAAATAATGGCAAAGTGCAAATGCTAAAGCAGATTTTCATTACAAATATATGTAAAATTAATTTAACTGTGGCATGTCCAGCAACCTCAGTCTTTATACAAAGCAGCAATAACTTAGTCTGTAGTCTTCCCTAATACTTTAAATAGAAGTACATTTAAATAATTTCACCAAGTCATGCTTGTTTGTTATGTATCTGTTTGTCATAGAAGTCCTTGACAAACAGTTTAACTGCATTGGTGATTCAACCACTAAGGACAAGAGAAATCTTGGCAGTGGTTTACATGAACCCATCTCCTCTTGTGCTGCATGTAGGGAATGAAGAGTTTGCAAGTCAGTTATGTACCACAGTCGAGGAGAAGTAACTTCTCACTATCACTGCAGCTGTTTTTTAAACAAACATCTGACAATGCTCTTAGGCTGTTTTCAAAGCAAGTCAGTGTCCTTTCAATTTTTTATTTTTTTTTTCTTCAAATTCCAGCTAAGGTTATTAATCTAAACACAGACCAGAAAAGGAACTTGTCAAATTCTTTCAACTGCCAGATGCAGTTCATTTTCACACCTCTTTGGCCGATTTCCATTAGGAAATACACTGGTTTTTTGAATGAAGATAAGTCAGTTTTATATCTCTGTACACTTTTTAGGGGGGAAAAAAAAAGCTAAAGCACTGATATTCCTTAAAATAGGATTATCTTTTAGTATTGTGTGCTTGTGTTAGAACTTGATCTTTACAGAGAAGTGTGACCCTTTCCTCCCACATTTATCTATATTGTGGACACAAACAATATAATAACTGTATATAAGAAATTATACATTAGTAAAAAAGAAAAAAACAAAAAACAAAACCAAAAAACCCCCCACAACCAACACCACCACACCGTGTTATTCATAAGGACCAGTCCAAGGGCAGCTGAAGCATATTCATGTCAGAGGAGCAGGAGAAAAAAAAAAACAAACAACTTCCTGCATACTTATTAAACTATACTCAGAAACACAGTGATTTAACAGGATACCTTTAATAAAGACAGTTCTCAAATGTTTGATAGTATATTCTACAATAATAGTTTAAAACGAGACCCGCTTTTCAAACACCAGCTGGCAAATAAAAGAAACCCTTTTGGAAGAAACCCATTTTCAATAGAGATTAAGAAGTCAAAAAGAGTAGTGCAGCCCAAAACAAACTGGAGCTAAACATCTTGAGCGTGGAAACGGTGTGCATGTGGCATTTTTTCTGAGAGGGGATTTATTTCCTGCTTTGTATGTTTGGTTCTTCGGTAGTAAAATATCAGCAAGAAACAGACTCTCGGAGTTCATGTTCCACAGCAAGTGAAACACAGTACTTGCTAAGAGAACTTCAAACACAGCAAATTTGGGTTTCTTTTTATCTGACCCTTTCCAAGGAAAAAACTCAGGAAGAATTGCTGTATCTGATTAGCCATATGACAGACAGATGGTATTTCACTCGGGAAAACTCATGCCTTTCAAGTACTTTCAGCGTGCTTGCTAGGACCTTCACAGAATGATTTCTGAAAGGTTTTTTTCTCCCCACCCAGAGCCATTATGTTTTGGGGGAAACAGTTCAAAACTACCTCCCCCCCCCCCTCTCTTTTTTTTTTTTTTTTTTAGTTCTTTCCTCCATCTCGGTTTTATTTTATGCAGGTACTTCAAATATATTTTCCTGGTCTACCTCGATAGTATTGGGCATGAGACGGTGCTTGTAGTAGCTCTTACCTCTTGTACAGCAATACCTGCAGGTAATGTCTATTTATCCTATTTTATCACCTTTGAAGTGGTCAGACCAAGGATGTGTGAATGATTTTCCACAAGTAAACAAACCTGGTAACTGTCAGTCTTCAGAGGATGCTGTGCAACACCGGCACGAGTGAAACCCTGACACTAATCAAGGACACAGATGCATCACCCCATCTTTGTACGGGAAGGCACCCAAAGCTACAGCTGAAGAAATGCTCTACTTGGTCTTCAAATGCTCTACTTGCGTCTTCAAATTAATGGCAAATAGTGCTATCTGCTATTTCCCTGACACGCCACAAAGAGCTAACCCAGATGAAATTCTCTGACCCGTAGCATAGAAATATGAGCTCAATCGAAGCACGTTCTTCAAAACTTTCACAAAAGAAGACTTGGGGGAGAATCAAGAGAGCCATCGTTGCTGCTGGTCTGGAGTCACTTTGCTATCACGACAACCTGAAACCTAAACACCTTCATACAGGAGACGAATGGTTTCAATACCTTCTGACAAAAGACTTTAAAAAAACCCAACAGATTTGACCTAAAATAGGGGAAGAGGGCGAAGGTGGAGCAGGAAGGCAGTTTTAACAACAGAAAACAAAGGAAACAGCTCAGCTCCTCTAACAACAATGGAGCAATTTTCCCTCAACAAGCTTTCTACCCCAGCTGCTAATTCTGATCCTCCTGGTGCAATCTGCCTCCTCCTCAATTGTGCTGATAAACCCATTTGTATAGCTGTGACATAAATTGCATCACGGAGATGATCCCTTTTACAATTACTTCCCCACCAATTAATGTGATTCAGTGATTCAATTCTAAAACCAGATGCATCAGCACAACTGAAAGAACTGCGAACCACGGTCATGAAGTGCAAATAACTTCATAAACCAGTTTGCATTTGAAGCCAGTGCACAAGTAACAACCCTCAGGGAGAAGTTACTATGCTTTGCTGAAGGGAGTAGAGACTATCAATTACAAGAATATCAATTACTGCTTCATCAACTATTTGGGAAAAAAAATACAATCAACTTTTGAAAAAATTGTGAAAGCATTCAAAGCTCTCAAAAAAGATGGTGTGGCATATTAAAATCCATCTTCTCCACAGAAGAGGAGGAGGCTATTTGTGGAAAATAAGCCGAGAATGGGATGCTTAAGGAAGAAAGAAAACCACAGAAAAGACTCAAAACAAGCAAAAAACCTCTCTGCTGAGAAAAATACTGGAAGAACTTATGACCCAACAATGTTTGAAAATATCCCTAACTTTAAAATACCATCTGATACTGATTTTGAGCTCAGACCACAGAAAGCTCATCTGTAAACATCTGGAACTAAAACCTGAAAATGATTCCATGTGTGTGGAAAGAAGAAATAACATTTTTATACTGAAAAACAAGAAAGGGAGATACCAAAGACACGATTATTCTGTCTGATATATACGTCAGGTATTCCTGAAAACAGCTAAAGCCATAGGGTGATCATTTACCAAGGCCATAGCATACTTTTATTCTCTGACCTAAGCTACAGCACCAGCATAATGGAAATGTGCAACACTTTAGTAAGCAGATGAAGGAGAAGCAGAAACTGCTCTTCTATTCCCAAATATATAAATATATTTATATTTATTTTATATATACACACACTATATATATATATAGCCTTGATCTTCCAACAAATGAGACTTACATAAGCTGAATTCAGGTTCTCGTTGAAGAGTTTTCCAAAATCAGCACATCTGGCATCTGTGAGCTCAGCAGATCAGAAATATGGCTACTTTTATGTTATACTTGTGGCATTTTAGCTCTTTTTATTCTTACATGATAATAGCATAGAAGCTCTGGCTGAGATCAACTCTTCACCGCGCTAGTCTCTGTATAAACACCTAGGCTTTGTCTAGACAAAAATCTAAAGGTATGATGCACCTGCAGTATGTTAGTGAATACTACTCATATAGCTGAGAAAACTAAACCAAAATTTGCACTTAGAGCTGTTTAAATACAGCTAAAAGACGTTTACTTCCAGATCTAGCTACAGCAATGGAGACGTTAGTCCCCCAGGTTGGAGGTGATCACCAGTTGGACATGATCAAGCGCTAGAACTCACCAGCAGAATGAAACTTTTGAGAACTCCCTAATCTGCATCTATGCAATGTTTTCACAGTTAAACAAAAAGCACCATCAACAGTGAATTAAATTACAATGTATGACACTGGCATGGCAGTAATGAAGGATACCTCATATTTTCTTTTTCCAGGTCAGCTCTGGGACATCAGCCTCTGGTGGGGAAGAAGAGGGGCAGAAGCAAACAGATGAGGACTGCTCATTTCTTAGACTGCTATATCCCTCCTGCAATCACAATCTAAAAATGGCCTTTGGCTTCAACCAAAGAAAACATATGGAAGGACTCAGCTGACGGGTGGAGAACACTGTCACCAAAAACCTGGTTGTACATCTGAACTCTGGGCGTGGATGAAATTATACCCAGCTAGGGAATACCTTGATAACATCTGTACTACTCACTGACAAACTCCGCATCACTTCCTTTCTGCGCCTAGCACAGCCCCATATTCTTCTCTGAAACTATTCCAGAGTTGCCTGTGTATTTTGCGCAACAGAGCTGTCAGACAACATAAACAGTAATGAGAACAAAAACTAGAACTTAAGATGTCCTCCCCTGCAAGTGACTACAGTCCACAGAAGAGTATTGTCCTTGGTCTCATACCTGGCCAAAAAGCAGCTTCATTTAAACAGCAAGAGTGGACACAATATTCAAAGAAGATGAGACCAAGAAAAACAGTTAAAATGGAGATATTCACAACCCTTATTTCAATGATGCACTAAGAGTTTCCTCAGCTTAGCTCTACAGTCTGTGTTTTTAATTGCTCGAGGTGATTTAGAACAGCTAAAACTACCGCTTCTGCTCTAAGCAGCCTTTGAAGAAGAGGGAAGCAAGGGAGAAGTTCCCTGATAATTGGAAAGA